TTTGGTTTCAATTTGGTCCCCAATAATTTAAATCATTGTAATTTGGGACTTCTGTCCAAATGATTTAAACAGAGTTAACTGGTGTCCACGTGGATGCCACATAGATGCATAGGTGAATGCCAAATTTCATGAGTACACGTGGAACCAGAACAGCCCGTTCTGAATCCAGAACGACCCATTCTGCTTGCACATATTATGTGTTAATTTTGCAACTGGAACAAGCCGTTCCAAATGCAAATTTAACACAACATGAGTGCATAAGAACGGGCCGTTCTGAAATCAGAACGGACTGTTTTGCTTTTAGAACGGACCGTTCTGGATTCAGAACGACCTGTTTCTAGAACGCCAACTTCATGCTTTTTATTGTATTTTTTTTCATTATATATATATATTAATAAAAGTACAATAAAAAAATACAATAAATTAATATTATTTATGAATAAAACTAAAAAAAATCAATAAATAAAACCGTCCAAAATACCTTTTTGATTTGAACTTATCCAGTTCAAAATCTTGACCAAAATGCCGCAATGTGAATCAAAAATTGAAAATAAAAATTCATAACATATCATAAATTCAAAGACAGAAACATGGTTCAGAAACTGAAAATAAAAATTCAGAACATAACATATACTAAAAAAGTTTAAAGAAATTGCTGAGAATGCACATGAAATAACATATACTGAAAAAGTTCAAAAATTCATCCTTGACTGTATAGTGTCAATTTGGTAGTAAGTGGTTCACTCCAGTTTGACTAACAATGAAATAAAACCTGGTACCATTGTCGTTAGTGATACATTGCATCGTCCTTAATGATACACTGTATAACCTAAATGTTTAGCAATCGAAGTTATCAATCCCCATTGACAATATTATCAAATCTAGTGTTTGAAATACTTTGTACCTTGAGTTTTTTTCCGCGCACGATGAACGACTGTGAAAATTCTGGAACTAGAACGATCCGTTCTGAAACCAGAACGGCCCGTTCTGGTTTCACTCTTGGTGTGTAAATTTTGTACTTAGAACGGCCTGTTCTAGGTACAAAATATACACACCAAGAGTGCAACCAGAATGAGCCGTTCTGGTTCCAGGTGTATTCAAAAAATTTGGGATCCATCTACGTGACATCTACGTGGTTACCATTTAATTCTGTTTAAATCATTTGGACGGAAGTTCCAAATTGCAATAATTTAAATTATTGAGAACTAAATTGAAATAAAAAATTAAAGTGAGAGTAAATTGAAAAAAAAATATTATAAGGGACCAAATAAAGATTTTAACCTATATTTTTTAAGTTTTTTGTGACACCCTTACTACCCCAACCCATATATTGTAATAATGAAAACTTAACAAAAACAATTTTCAATTTCGGTAAAAGGGTTCACATGAGAATCTTCAAAATCGTTCTTCAATCGTGAACTA